GGATGAGAAAGTTCTATATCGGGGGAGGACACACTTCAGACGTCGGGCACCACCGTGGCCAGCTCCATGGTCGCAATGATAATGGAGAACCTTCAAGCCCTCCTGGCGGCGACCATTCAAGAAGGATCCGCTCGCATCAGCAAAGAGCTTGAGGGATTATCACCAAAAATGCGACAAACGCACACGGAAGGTGATGCCTGAGGGAACACTCGCAGAGGGAGCGAGCCATCATAAGGGCTTGTATAGTTGAGTCGTGTGACATATTTATTGAGTACGTCGAGTTCATTTACGGCAGAGGTGTTAGATGACGAGTTGACTAACTCATTTCAACAAGTTACATACGAATATCTAGGGACTACCGACCCATACGAGCACCATTGCAGGTTCAACAACACATCAATGTTGCACCGCATTTCGGATGGAGCAAAGTAAAGAGTGCTCGCAACAGCCTAGCAGGTCCCGCCCAAACTTGGTTCAGCCTACTCCAAAGTTCTATGATTAACAACTTCGACCAACTTTGCTCTAGCTTCCTGGATCATTTCACGAGCTCGAAAAAACAGAACCGAAGCACCTTAACCATGTTCGCCATTAAGCAGAGGGACGGAGAATACTTTCGGAGTTTCATCAAGCAATTCGTAGCTGCTACCTTAGAAGTGCCCATAACTTTTGAGGAGGTCTTGATCAATGCCCTCGTCCAGGGCTTGCGAGTAGGAGACTTCTTCATCTCCCTCTCGAGAAAAACTCCCCTCTCTTTCAATAATTTGTTAAAAAAAACTGATAGATGTATAAATGCGGAGGAACCAGAGCCTAATAAATCTAAAGAGATCAAAAGGGGAAGCGAAAGGAGAAAGGAGAAAAGAGAGGATAAAATACATAATACATGATTCCTAGCAAGGAAAGAAGAACCCATCAAGAGGCGAGTAGATACTCGTTTCGACAATTATGTGCAACTGGTCGCTCCACCTACGGAGTGCACAAACTTCACACTAGATTTCGGATTGCACAAACGTTGGCCCTTGGAGCGGTCCTCGGTGGGACTCAGGGACAAGTCACAATAGGGCTGGTCCTGTAGTGAAGTTACGGTGCTGTCTAGCTCTTAAGGATTAATGGTGTACAACTATATCATAGAAACCCCAACTCGATTGTTTGGGAACCACTTAGAGATTTCAGTGAACTCATCTACATGAGCACCCACTTATGTATATCGATATCACAATACCGTTTACTGATGAGACGCAATACACATATAATAAGTGATAGTCCCAATTGGAAAATGTCGGTATCCTCATTGATGATGTAACCCGTTGACTAGGAACTAGATTTAACAGTTATATTAACTATTTAAATGTCTCATGATTCAACTAGATCAATTAATAATAATTAGAATGACTATAAGGACTGTATATATGCACATACAAGAGACAAGGACGGAGAATGCCAAAATTAGATTTTATCATTAATACAAAATTAGTTGTTTATTACAATAATAAAGGAAATAGCACAACCACAACTTGACTTGTTGGTCACCTACTCTAACAATCTCCACTTGATCTAAAGTCAACTACCCATGAATCGTAATCCCATCGACTCTCAATGTTTCTCGTGGACTGATCTGGACAAATGCTTCGTAAAGGGATCTGCTACATTATCTTCTGAGGTGACTCGATCGACCTTGAATTCACCGCTATCAATGATCTCTCTGATCACATGATACTTTCTCAGAATATGCTTGGACTTCTGATGAGATCTCAGCTCCTTAGCTTTCACCACGGCCCCGGTGTTATCACAGTACATCGGTATTGGATCATTTGCATTTGGAACAACACTCAACTCCATCCTTGGCCTTGTTGATGTCCTCCATATTATCCGTGTGGCCTCATCCTTGATTTTGAGGTTGCCGAGGTGCAATGTTGATGTAGTTGAGTGACTCCATCTCTTGTTGGCATTGAATGGAGTAGTAATTTCCCTCACAATTTTCGCAACATGGTGTTCCATACAGTGCTTGCATTGCGTGGACTTGTTGCGGTTTGTTCACTTTAGTGATGTGCTGGTTTTATTGTGAAATTTGTGTCACTTGAGCTTGAAGAGCTGTGATTGCGTCTAGTTCCAAAACTCCGGGAATTTTTCTTTTCTTGGCTCCACTGATTGTTCTCTCGCTAGGCTTACTGAACCTGTTCTTTGCAATTTGATCCAACAAAATAAATGCACGAGTAATAAATTGGCTCATAAAATTACCTCCTCATGCTGCTTCTAGAACGGTTCTCGCATTCTCATTTATCCCTTGATAGAAGATATGAATTTGACGCCACTATTCCACCCCGTGAGTTGGACATTGTCTTAAAACGCCTTGAATCTCTCCGAAGCCTCGAACAATATTTCTCCTTACTCTTGGACAAAATTGTGGATCTCCCTCATACTGAATGACCATCTCAACCTAAAGCTCATATTGTTAGTGAAATGTATCACTTAACATTAATATCTCAAATACCTTCGTACCCTTTCATCCTTCTCTAGTGAGCTATACGTTTTCATGATGAGTTGTAAGAGTTGAGGCCATGAGGATATGGAATGAGGGGCTTGAGACATTAACCACTGGCGAGCTTTTCTTTGCAACAAGTGTTTGAATATAAGGAATAGCTGGAGTGCCTCTTGGGATGCAACCCACCAAACAACCCATTAATCTGGAGGATCGCCAAAAGTCGTTCTTTGATCTCAAAGTTGTGGGCTTCAATCGGTGGATATTGGATGCTAGAGCATAAACCATCAAGATTGGGAATTATGTAGTCCTAAAGCATAGTAGTTAAATTCACGAGATACCGCGATATATATTGCGAGACGGTATGGTCCCAATCAAAACGATACAACTCATAATATATATCGGCTATGCATAAATACTGGTAAATATTCATCTAGAGTTAAACCGATCTCCTAAAGTTCCATCTTCCGATCTTCCTAAAGTGCCATTTGTCCACCAATTTTCCGATCTTCCGATTCTTGCATTCAACAATAACAATAAAGCACATAAAGTGGCCAATTTCATGCACTTAAGAAAACAAATTGAAGAAGTAATCCTGAATTAATACTTGCATAAAATCATAGAATTAGGTTCACAAATCCCGCATAGGGTTCGAATAAAATCCTAGAAACTAAAAGTTAACCTAGTTAGAATTATAATAAAAACAACAATATAATTCATAAGAACAAAAATTAATACTATGCTTGAAATCTTCGAATCTTCGTCTTTGCCTCTTGCTCTAGATTGTAAGATTGGACACCTAGTTCCTACTTGAAATTTCCTTTTATATGGCGTCGAGAGTTGATAAAAAGTAGGGATTTTCTTGTGCAATTAAACTTCCCAAACAGGCATAACTGGTATTTCGAGCGGCCGTACGAGTTTCATGTAAAATCTCGGACAACCGTCTCACTTTTTCAGACGTTCTACCTACTTTTGTGAAATTAAACGGCCGTCCGATTTTGTAGTGTAATTTTGGGTCAGCCGTCGGAGGCCTCTTTTGTCTTCGGTTGACTTTTTGCCCATTTTTAGCTCGTTTCCGCCCCATTTTTTACCGTTTTGCTCTTATATTGCCCTATTCTTTACTTTGCACCTAAAACGTATAAACCAAGTCTTTAAATACAATATATTCACTAAAATGTCACAAAAATCTTCGTAAGAGAATATTAATCAAGTGTAAAATATACACTCAACATTTTTTTTTATTTATATTGTCTGATCGTGGCCTAATCTTTTGTGGTCTTATAAATGAGGCTTGTCATTCGACCATTTGTTTGATTAATCGCGTTTTGGCCTTGTAGGCATATTAATGATCGATACTCCATCAATAATTAATTTTTGTCATAACCAAATTATATATATATATATATATATATATATATATATATATATATATATATATATATATATATATATATATATATATCAATGACACTATTATGATAACAACGTGGTGCCAAATTATCAATAATTATCACATGACTGTGACATGTATATATAATTTCCGTTTCTTGAACCAACATCACTTGCTATTCTCCAACACTTGTTCTTTCGAATTTGACTACCATGTGCTAATTATCCAATCATCCTCACCATTCAATTTTATAACTTATACTATAACTATAATTAGCTCAATTCGACATCGCCCTCACGACACGTTGAATCGCCCCCTCCTTTTTTATTTATTTTTATATTTTCACACCTTCGAATTACCGTCTTACGTATCATCCCCCTTTGTTTTTAGGAAAAAAGTAATTTTATTTAAGCCTACATAGCCAAATTGGAGGAAGGGTATATAACCTTCATTACAAAAGTCACCATATTTTTTAGCAATAAGATGAGCTAAAATATTTTCCGAACGGTTAACAAAATTAAAGACACAATTTTCATCTTTTTTAGCGACACACCAACAATCTTTGACATAAATCATGATTAACTAAATAATTCGTTTCGATCATATAGTTAATTATATAATGCCTTGTTTGGTTGGGGAGATTAGCCATGATTAACTAAATAATGGGACTTTGTTTGATGTTTGGTATCTCCAACAACTTGTCGGGTCGACCCGCAGATATTATGTTATTACGCCTTATGTTGCTTTTTAAGCATGTCTTTTTATTATATCTTCCAAGATCCGATAATACAATTGGATTTCATTAGATTATTTAATTTTATCTTGACTAATCATATATTCCTAATCAAACGAGACCCAAGTGTATTGGAATGATTTTTACTTTAGTGAAAATAGCTTGCAGTATAATATATAAAACATATTAGACATCTATAAGACATACGTAAAAAATTTGATCTAAAAAATGTTTGACAATAAAATTTGAACTCAAATCATTATTATCTTGTTTGAAAATTTTGAAAAATTAAAATTTATTTTGCACTTCCAATAAAAAATGTTCATTCCGATCGATTCCATTTGATTTTCACTCCTAGTAATAGTTGTAGTCACAGCACGAAAAATCCATTATTGCTAAACGCCCACTTCTCTATATATACGTTCCCCCTCCCTCCAAGGCTTAACCATTTTTCACATACTAAACCTCTGAAAAAAAAACACACACACACACACACATCAAAGAAGATAATGGCAAAGGAGTTGAAAGAAAGCTCCATGTACATAGAACCTAAACCAACCACAGAAGCTCGCCTAGAAAACGGTGAAGAAGCTGCAAGCAAGAACTTCGACGACGATGGCCGTGTCCGAAGAACCGGTATAGTCATATATCATATATTTGAATAATATTATATACTATAATTAATTAATTAATTAAAACTGTGAATTATTAAAAAAGGGACGCTGTTGACGGCGAGTGCACACATAATAACGGCGGTGATAGGGTCGGGAGTGCTGTCGCTGGCTTGGGCAATAGCGCAGCTGGGTTGGGTGGTGGGCCCCTCCGTATTGTTCGCCTTCTCTGTCATAACATACTTCACCTCCACCCTCCTCGCCGACTCTTACCGCTCCCCCGGCCCTGTCCATGGCTCCAGAAACTATACTTACATGGATGTTGTCCGTTCTCATTTAGGTATATATACATTTATAATTATTGCTTAATTCTATCTATCTATCTATATATAAATTATATCTATATGTCTACCAATTTCAATATTTTCTTTTGGGTCAGTGTGATATTTCCTAGGAATCTTGAATTTGAGACAAACCCTTTTTCCCGACAATATTGATACTATACTACTATTATGATTTATTATGAGAGTTTGTTCCGATTGGGTTTATACTAATGAATTTCAAATATTAATTATATTTGTTGTTAATTTTTAGGTGGTTATAAAGTCGGGCTATGTGGGCTAGCACAGTACGGCAATCTTGTCGGAGTTACCATTGGGTACACAATTACTGCCTCCATCAGTATGGTGTAAGTAGTAATAATTTCACTTCTTTTAATTTTGTTTTATTTGTAATATTAAGTAGTAGCTAATGAATTAATTAATAATCCAATTGATGATATTTATTTATTTAATAATTGTTGATGATGTTAAAAAAAAAAAAAAAAGAGCGGTGAAAAGGTCGAATTGTTTCCATAAAGAGGGGCACGGGGCAAAGTGTTCAGTATCAAACTACCCATTCATGGCAATATTTGCAGCAATTCAGATAATATTGAGTCAAATACCAAATTTCCATGAGCTTTCTTGGCTCTCTATTGTTGCTGCTGTTATGTCTTTTGCTTACTCTTCCATCGGCCTTGCCCTCTCCATAGCTAAGCTTGCAGGTACACTACTATTTCTATCTAATAATAATTAATTCAATATTTTCATTATATTCTACCATACACGTGTATGAATCGATCTATATGTACGTATTTTATGAATATTTATATGTAACATTGTTTGAATGAAAATTGAAAAACTACCAAATATATTTTATTAGGCAGTGTCGGTGACATTGCCTACATTTGAAATTGGATACTATCTAACTTTTTTCGGCTCCCCCAATTTTTTTATTTAATTTTTTTATTTCATTAATCTGTCATTAATGGTAAAGTATAGTATATATAGTTGGACAAATCAATATTTTTTTAATTGAAATTTGGAACGACTGGCAATATTAGTAATTTTTTTTTTTTAACACAGACACTTAGAAAGAAATGAAGGGAGTAATTAATACGAAATATGAACAAATATAGTTAAATTAAAAAGAAAATAATGATGAGGCATTATTTTTGGATTATTATTTGTTTTGATATATATATGTATAGAGAGAGAGAGAGAAGATTGATGTGAGAGAAAAATATATGTATAGGTGGAGGGAATCATGTGAGGACAAGCCTAACAGGGACGACAGTAGGAGTTGACGTAACAGGACCAGAAAAGGTGTGGAGAAGCTTTCAAGCAATTGGAGATATTGCCTTCGCTTATGCCTATTCTACCGTCCTTATCGAGATCCAGGCATTTCTTTCTCTCTCCTCCCTCTTTCTCTCTCTCTCTCTCTCTCTCTATTTTTATCATGCCAATTCCAATTATTTATAAATTGGGGGACCAATTTGATGGAAATAAGTATTTATCTAAAAAAAATAAACACATATAGTACATTTAAAAAGTTGAATGTCTAGTCCACTAGTGGTGTTAAATATTGGACATGTTAATATTAAATAATATATTTCACCAAAAACTTAAAACTTTTGGTTGAGATGGTCATTTAACATGCTATTAGAGTCGGGCTAAATATTTCAAATATTTCAAGTACAAGACATCAAATATAATTTAATTATACTTTAGGTGGTGTATTAAAGACATTAATATTAAATGATATTTTTCATAAAAACTTAAATTTTTAATTAAAGTTGTCATTAAACATGTCACTCACTTTTTGGCTATTTGGGATTTTTAGTTTTGATAGTCAATTTGGATTTGTAATTAAAATTAGGTAAATTACGGGCACACTTCTAGATAAGGTTAAATTACGAAAAAAAAATTCATTTTTTACAATCACCTTCTCAACTATGAATCTTCTTATACGTTTATCTTTGCGGTGTCAAATTTAGTGGAATCTTGTAGATTATGTAGAATATCCTCCAGTTTGTACCCGTTTTACCTCATTAGTGCTCCACATTTTAAAACGAGATTATAATAAAATGTGTCTTTTGGTTTGTAAATATCAGATTTTGGTGCATATTAGAATTGCACTTTTCCATAAAATGAATACAATCTAAAGAACATTCCGCAAAATTTATAAGATTATGTTTAATTTGACACCACGAAAGTGGATGCGTAAGAAAATTTGAAGTTCATGGTTGAAGAGGACTATTATAATTGGTGGTCGTAATTTCCCATCAAAATTATAAGAAATTAAAAGATATATTGTTAGCATAAAAAAAATATATAGAGAGAGAAAGTAATAGTTGCGTGGTTGCATGGATATGTGTTTGCAGAATTTGCGGGCGGCCACAAGTTAATCAATCAACACCCTGACATTTCAAAATTTAAATTTGAATGCAAATATTTGGGACCCAAAGTTGAGATGTGTGCCTGATTTTATCAAAGTAACGGAGTAATTTATTTGTGTATATATAAAGAGCGTGCTGCATTTATTATGCTATACGTGGTTCCCCTATGGTTGTAACCTCTGGTACCAATTACGATAACATTTTTTTATGCAATCTAATTGTTTTATTGCATGCATATACATGTATATATACATATTATATATACACTCCAGACCAAAAATATACATATATGAAATGAGCATGCCACCTCTAGCATAAGGACGAAATAGATAGGACACCGACTTAGCGAGCAATTAATGCTAATTAATGACATCGTAGGTTCAAAGATAATCTAGTACGGTTTTATCTATCCTACACCCGGTGAAGGTTACATCGGGTGATTTTTTACCGTTGATCTACACATACCAATGTGGGTGTGTGTATATGAATGGTAAAGATCTACCCGGTGTATTTCACCCGGTGTAGGATCTCAAAAGCCAGTCTAGTACCTTTAGCCGACTCAAGAACTTAATGCGTAGATTCGAAAAATACTCGAACTCGAGCTTTCGGCTTGTGCATACCTATATATGATACACACACACACGCTAGCTAGTAGAAACATATTTTTACTACGAATTTTCATGCTACGGTAAAAAATTGTAACAAAAAATACGTTTTACTACGAGACAATCTTGGAGTCGTAGTAAATAGTAGGATTTATCATAACAAATTTTTCGTGACGTCCTTATATGCTACAGAGCAAATTCGTAGAAAAAAAACTTTTTACAATAAATTTAGTACATTTTGCTGTTAATTGTCGTAGTAAAAGGTAATTTTTTACTAGTTATATATATATATATATATATATATATATATATATATATATATATATATATATATATATTAAAATAAACCAAGTTTAAAGAATATTGTTGGTGATGAATGATGATATGAAATTTAGTATTCTATGTAATTTGGTCCCAGTCTAAGGTAGTTCAATGCATGTGCAATCTCCCAGGAGGACCATTTAGTATTCTTTTGGGATAAATAGTCAAAGTGAAGTAGGGCCAAAACTAGTTGTTTCCTAGTGTGCCTTCATATTAAGGGTATGGTGGCTGTGCAGCTTCGAATGGACCACAATTTACAATTTTTCATAATATAAAGATATATAAGTGAATAAGATATCATATCTTTTTCTCACTTGATTTTTTTTTGTAATTTAGTCTCAAGCAAGCATTCTCTTTTCGCATCAATTAATTCTCCTTTCTCTTTCGATCTTTCGTCTTAATAGAGTCTTCTAGTGGCATGCTGAATGGCATATTCCCGAAACTCGAAACTCATACATACTTGATAGGTTAAACTGGTTGACTAGAAAATCTTTCTTCTGCTACATGAATTCATAAGGAACACTGATACGGTTACACCCTTGACTGTGAAATAGAAGTCTTATTTTGCCTATATGCATGTTAATTTTTTTTGTTATATTATGTGACAAAGTCTTCTAGTACACATATATCGAATATAACAATAATTACAAATAAATTGGCAAAAGGTGAATCACTTTTATCGGAAAACGATACTAATATCGACGGAGAGATATCCAGATCCGAAATCGTTTGGCGTCCGTGTATATGAAAGTCAAAGCAGTATTCACTTCATTAATAAGGGAAGGGGCTAAAGTCGAACTTCTGTTGAACTAAATTATAATTCTTATATATATAACACTCATAAGTTTAAAGTTAAATAATTCTTAAAATCTTGGCCAAGTCCTTAATTTAGTTATAGGACATGTATATTAATTATGTAACAAAAATTATTATTACTAAGTGTTAAACATTTTATAAGTTTCATGATCTTATCTTATATATTCTTGCACTAATAACTAATATGCATCAAGTCCAAAATGATTTAGTAATTGTGATGATATATAAACAGGATACATTGAAATCTCCACCACCAGAGAACAGGGTAATGAAGAAGGCATCTTTTGTGGGAGTATCAACGACAACAATATTCTATGTTCTATGTGGTTGCCTTGGCTATGCTGCTTTCGGGAATAATGCTCCCGGAAACTTCCTCACCGGTTTCGGATTTTACGAGCCCTTTTGGTTGATTGACTTTGCCAATGTATGCATCGCCATCCACCTTGTTGGTGCTTACCAGGTAACAAAACATGATCATATACCTCATTCTAAGTAGTTGTGAGACCATAATTTTCTATCCGTCGCCCAAATATAGATGTATACGCAAAAAATTTCGAGAGGGCCGCAACATATATGTATACCGTGAAAAATAATAATTAGTAGATTTTTAGAATTCAAGGCTACAACCCCATCACCAGCAGAGCCAATATTTTCAGTGCAAGAGGCTGAATGCATTAAAAAGTTTATGAGAACGGGGTCATAGTGCTACCATACGCACACAAAAAATCTCTATATAAAATAGTACGAAATGCAAAAAAAAATATAAGATTGAGAAAAGAATCGATTTGTGTATTTTTAAGTCCATTTTCATACACATGAGTGGACTGTTACATTCAAAATTGTCTCCACTAAGCTTATTACTATTTCAAATTAAAACAGGTATTCGCGCAGCCTATATTCGGCTTTGTGGAGAAGCTTTGCAGAAGGAAATGGCCGGAGAACAAATTCATCACGAAAGAACACGCGGCCAAAATCCCACTATGTGGACCTAATTGCAAGATCAACTTATTCAGATTGGTTTGGAGAACAAGTTACGTAATAGTAACGGCGGTTGTAGCAATGATATTCCCATTCTTCAACGACTTCTTGGGATTAATCGGAGCAGCATCTTTCTACCCGTTAACGGTATATTTCCCAATAGAGATGCACATTGCACAGACAAAGATACCGAAATATTCCTTCACATGGATTTGGCTTAAAATCCTCAGCTGGGCTTGTCTTGTCGTCTCTCTAGTTGCTGCTGCTGGTTCCATACAAGGCCTCGCGCATGATGTCAAGGCATACAAGCCCTTCAAAACTCAATAGCTACTACTTCTTTAATTACCATATAATTATAATATGTTTTGTTGTAATAATAATTTAGTTCGTTAATTAAGAAAGTTTTGTTGTATGCTCCCCTCGAGGAACACAATTAAATATTCAAACACTTTTTTTTTCTGGATTATGTAATATATAGATAGCTATAATGCCTTATTTTATATATATATATATATATATATATATATATATATATATATATATATATATATATATATATATATATATATATATATATATATGTGTGTGTGTGTGTGTGTGTGTGTTGCTGTAATTAATAACAATCTGTGTAAACGAAAAATACTTACTTGTTTGTCGAAAAGAGGAATTGTGAAAAACACAAAGAACGATCGAGGCTTGCCAAAGCAATTCCCTTAAGACAATGTTTCCGGGCTGTCAACGGTGCACAGTCTCTTCTCGTTAGTCTCCCAAGGTACAACGATCGGTTGTCAAATATTAGCACGAATATTCGACCCACGGCGAACTTGAACAATGAACGAAACTTTGACGAAGAAAAAGAAGAATATGAAGAACCATTCTTAATTGTCGATTAAAATCAGTACAAGAATTGACCAAATTCTGCATTTATTTATAGGTGGTAGAGATCCATTTATAGAGGGTTGCAATGGTTGGAAGAAGAAGTAGAAAGTTGTGTATGTTCTTTTCACCAAGTTCAAAATGTAGGAAAATTAATTGGTCATGGGCCAATTAATTAAATATTTGGTTTGGGCCCAATATTTTATTACTTAGATTTTGGGTCAACTAATTTGACTAATTACCAAATGTCCCCAAAAATAATAATTGTGGACACCTAAACCCAAACTAGTCCTATCACTTGATCACATCGAGCGCACATCTTTTGAACTTTAACCATTTAATCAAGACAATTTTCATTCACTTTACTTCATGATTATGATCAAGTAAATAAATGAAATTAATCTTTACATAATTTAATTAATATTACTCAATATTAATTATTGGAAATCATGAAAGTTCCAACAATCCCCCACATGAATAAAATTGTTCTTCCAATCTTATCGCATAAGATTTATTTGTCAAAATTCCTTAGTGAATAATACAACATCGGGATAGGTGAAATATTTCATCTTGAACATTCCCTAGTTAAAGCTTATCGGATTCACTTAGCCAATCGGTGAATTATTTCATCTTGAACCGTCGGCTGTTTGTGTAATCCAAGACAATAAACTTAACACCACACTAAACGAACTTGTTCAAGTTCTCGGTTGTGTCCGTTTTGGCCCTGAACATCCTCGGGTTCTCCGGGTGCTTTAGAGAATTCCAGCCTTTAAGAATTCTGAACGAGCCGACCCATCTCATATAAAGAGTATCCTACTATACCGTACTTGTAATTAACAAGATATAGACGTCATTAAAAGCAATAGCTTAACTTTTTTTAACGTCGTAGGTTGCACTTATTGCATCATAGGAATAAGATGGAGTTAAACAGAACTGGTTGTCCTATTGAACTTGGTCCGTGGGATCTCCAGTCGCCAAGTTAGGTTTTCGTATAAGGTAACTTAGTTATTTAGGCTTTAAACTTATTCCCATCGATGCGCATTTAATCTCTCTCGCTAGATAAACATTATTAAATGGATCCGCTAGGTTATCTTTGAACTTCTCAAAATCAATGGAAATTTATTCCATTAGAGAGTAAATGTGTCACGTTAAATGTCTACGACGAATATGTCGAGACTTACTATCGTAAAATATGAGAGCAATTGTTAATTGATTGTTTTTTAAATCCAATTTCTAATTATATTGCCTCGCTGTATCCCTCAAGGACATATAAGACCATTGTAGCTCAATTTTATATGTTTTCAAAACAAAATGTTATTCTCCTTCGTGTGTGTGAAACTCTATTTAATATACCATTAGATATATAAGGAGCTTCCCCTTAAGGTTTTTGGATAAACCCAAATTTAATCATGTCTTTAAATTTTTGATTTTAACGTTTGGCTAACCTATTTGACGTGAATATTGTTTATTGATGTGAAGAATTATCCTTGCACACACTTGCGCATTGTATTTCACAAATACATTTACGGCTTCGTATTTTATTAAACTCAAAATTTGAAAGTCTTATTTTGTGACAAATGATGGCACAAAATCATTACACAATTCTTTTGACAAAGAATTCACAGATTTTATGAAAACAAATAATTCAAACAACATTAAAACTATTTAAAGTATAAACAACAATTGATTATGTCCAAATTCAACCAACTCATTGGTTTGAAAACATTGTTTCAAAAGAAAGAATAAAATATTTATATGATTTAATAATTTTAAATTTCATATAGACTTGTAAAATATAGGGCAATTTTGAAAAAAAATACTGGTAAAAAACTTGTATAATAAAACCTTGTTTTACACACGACATTTTCCAACATAATAAGTTCTTACAACTCATATTACAAAATGCAAATAAACCATATAAACTAAAAATTATTAATATAATTTTAATAGCTTAGTTCTTGCTGATAACGGCTACGTTCGCCCTAACGAGACCGTCACATAGGTACCCCTTTCCCACGTAGAACCCTCATTTGGTTAGCACAAATTTGTCTGACTCAAAAGCCAAATTGAAACCTTTCTTGGTTAGAATAGAACCAGTGATTAAGTTCTTCCTAATATGCGGAACATGTAGCACATCGTTTATGGTAACTTCCTTTTCGGAAATGAATTTTAGGATCACTTGTCCTTGTCCTAATTCAACCACCGAATAAGCATCATTTCCGATGAAGAGCTTTTGTTCTTGCTCCAACTTTTTGTAGGAGGATAACATGCTCTTGTCATAGCAAGTGTAACGAGTTACCCCGGTGTCTACCCACCATCCTCGAGGATAACATGCTCTTGTCATAGCAAATGTATATATTAATTTTCATTGTGTATTGACCTAAATACCCTTATTATTTTATTTTATATTAAAAAACAAAAATAATAATGTATTCGAATGTCTTTATTATCCTCATATCTTTTACAAATTTTAAAGGGAGCACTAGACCTGGCCAGACATGATCGCCCCGTTGATCATTGACCCGGCCCAGATCCGAGCGCCCCGCCCTGTTGACTTGGCCTAGCGACGAAGACCCAGATTTAATTGATCAGTTTTTTGCCAAAAAATGCTTTAGAAAAGAGTCAAACTTGGGACTGTTAGACGGGAACAGTAGTACCAACCACTAAGACAAAGTAAGTATGTGATTATATCTAGCAATAAATATATATAATATAATATTACAGTGTTAAATAATTTAATCGATGTAAATAATGTTAAATAGATTATTAATTTTGATATTGATTATTATTAAATAATGTTATTAATATTAACAAATGTAATATATTAAATTTTGAAAAATATAAAAATTGCGGTTCAATACTTCTAAACATCTATTATTAATTATTATATTCAATATAATTTTTAACATAAAAAAATAAAGAATTGAATCAATTCAATATATAAACAAATGAATGACTCAATAGAAACTCATTTATGCTATTAAAATCGATAGCTGATTTCAACATTAGCTAACGTCCAACTTTTTTTCTTTTAACCTTTTTTTTTCGACGACGGGGCGTCGAAGCTCTGATTAGCTTGTTATGCATTAGTTGACTTCTGCATTAGCCGAATATCAACTAATGCTGAAGTTAACTAATGTTTAAGTTAACTAATGTTGAAGTTAACTAATGCTGAGTGAGATGATTAACCGAAGATTCGACGGCCCGTCGCCGAAAAAAAAAAGAAAAAAGAAAAAGATGTCTACCAATGTTAAAGTTAACTAATGTTAAGTCAGCTAACCGGAGTTCCGACGACCCACCACCGGAAAAGAAATTAAAAGAAAAAAAAAGAAATGGATTGTCAACTAAAAGAAATGGATTGTCAAACCGAGGCTCCGACCACCCAGGCCACTATTAAAATAAAAACCAAAAAGAAAAAAAAGAAAAAAAATCCCATCAACATAGGGCTGACATGACTTCAAATTCATCATACATACATCGACAACGAAAAAACTCCGCCGAGACCTCATTGTTGCTTGATCGATGTCCAGATGAAAATTAAGAATACGACGATGTATGATCACCAAAAATGTGACACCCCTTATCTAATTACACTTACTTAGTAATTTAGAATATGCTAGCGGAAGACTTATAGAAAATAATGAGTGTGGAATGCTTGTTTTAAAAATCACCTTGTACCAATAGAAAGTTACGAATAAATTTTTCTTTTACAATCAGAGGAAGAGTGTCCACGTAATACCATATCATATACACTTCACCAAATATCACAAAAGGAACATGCATGACTAGATTATTAAAATTATCAAGAGTAAAGATTATGAATTTCGGACATATTAGGTAGATCAACTTAGAAAATTAATATCTCTTGAACCCTTCATGAAAATACTTTAAACATTTATCCACATACTCTAGAATATGGGTCTAAATTACTCAATTAAAACAGTTTTAAAATATCATTAGCCATTTAAGATAAATAATTAAACATATGCAACTGTTCAGTTTGAAAATCCAGAACAGGAAGACAGCTTTGAAAATTCTTTATAAATTCCCTACTGTTCTAAACACTACCAAACTTTATACCAAAGCAGATAAGTGAGTTAAGAACATATTCGAAGTTAGACGGGGTTCATTTGAGTAAGAAAAACTTCATATGTTGATGCATGTCCTAAAATGACTCAGCATATGTACAATTATGAAAAATAATTCATAATAAATTCATGAATTATCCAAATGATGCAAAAGACCTACCAAAATGACCGTAACAGAAAGGCCTATGACACCGTAAAATTACAATCAATTCTAACAGAGAGTATATTTAATACGTATTATCAAACAACAGAGCAGAACACAACATAAAACTACCAGATAAACATTATATAGAAGTTTGGCAAAAGAGGAAGTCGTAATCCTAATTATTATTAAATGCATTGTTCTTGCTAGTAAGAGCCCCCGAGGGGTGGAATAGTACGATAATAGATATCTAAGACGGTATCAAAAGTCTTTAAAATTAAATTATATATGTAGAACAATATGGCTAAATTAAGAGCACACAAGATCCACACGCCTTCCATATGAATACATCCCTCGATTCTCGAACTCGACTCCAACTTTA